TTGTCGCGCACAGGTAACAGTCCGTCGCGCACGGATATGAGTCCGTCACGCACAGGTGAAAGTCTGTCGCGCACAGTTAACAGTCCGTCACGCACAGGTATGAGTCCGTCGCGAAACTATACTACGGGTAATGTTCGTACTTGCACACATAAACTCCGTACTCGTACACGTAGACTCCGTACTCGTAACAGTCCAGCCAATTACCCCTCTCTTTAGGAGAAGTGAGTCCACAAGACCTAGGAGTGGGTATCCAACTCGCTGCAAGGGTTTAGTGTTTTTTAGCTGAGAGTGGGAATGCAACTCTGGCGAAAAACTTTGATGCAGCTCCCTTTATTGGGGTGGGTTTGCACTGACCATTCCTGTGCGCCGGTAAAGCTTAGGGGGGATATGATAAGGCTTGAGTCTGTACGGGGGTGGCGATCGGAGCGCTATTCTGGTGGGCGCCCGGGGCATTTATTGGGACCGTTACAATTCTCCCCCTTCAGAACCTCTTCGGCGCCTCGACGTAGGTTCTGATGTTGGAGCGGCAGGTTTCTTACGTGGACGTCGTCGTCGGCGGATCGGCACTACGAGGTCGGTGTCTTCCATAGGCTTTGCGGGGCGGAGCGCTGGAACGTGGTAGACACCCAGGGGTTGGTTGGGTTTATTGCTGGCAGCGACTTCATAGCTGCAGGGGCCTCTTCCCGTGAGGATGACGTAGGGTCCATCTCGTTTGGGGGCAAATTTTGCGGTCCATCTTTTTGATCCCTTGCTTATGGGATGGGTATCGATGAGTACTAGATCACCTGGTTGATACACGGGGGCAGGGCGGCGTTTGGCATCGGCGTAGTCCTTGCGCTGATCCTGTCTTTGTTCTTGTAGGTCTCGTACTTCGTGGAGGGTGTCGGCGAGTTGAAGTAGGCGGGGTGTTACCTCTGGCACGAAGTTTTCATTTTGAATTATGGCTCGCATATCAGTGGTGACTTCGTATGGGGTTCTCAATTCTCGACCGAAAGTTAAATATGCGGCGGTGTGACTGGTAGTTTGGCAACGGGTGGTGTTTAATGCGAATCGAATTGCGGGCAATTTTACGGGCTATTGGTCGTGGTGGATTCCCACGAGGATTGCTAGTTGGGTTTTTAAATCCCGATTCTTTCTCTCAACCATATTAGCAGCTGGGTGATATACGGGCGTCAGCTTTGTTCGATGTCAAAACAGTGGCATATTTTGTGCATCACGGCACTCACAAACTGGGTACCATTATCAGAAATGATTTTCCGCGGAAGCCCATAGCGTAAGCACACTTCATTCACTAAAATCCAGGCGCAAGCTTCCAAAGTGGCGTGCTGTAGTGGAAATAATTCAACCCATCTAGACGCGCAATCTTCCACGATGAGTATCCATTTCTCTTCCTGTGGGCCACGGGGAAGGGGCCCAAACAAATCCGTGGAGATAACTTCAAAACGTTGTCGCATTATCGGAGTTTGAAGTAAGCCAGCGGGTCGTTGATTACTGGCTTTATAGCGTTGACAGGCACCACAGTGTTGGATGTACTCCCGAATATCTCGTTTTAATCCTGGCCAATAAAATTTCCGGGAAATCTTATGATGGGTGTGGCCTACCTCATAATGACCTGCCGTTGGTGAATCGTGATATTCTTGCAAAATGTTCTTGCGCTCATTAGCGGGTACTACGAGCTGTGCTTCTTCGTTATCGTCGTCGGATGCGCAGCGATACAGAATTCCTTGGGTCAGCAAATATCCGCGAGCCGACTATCGTTCGGTTTCTTCTGGGGTCCCGTGTTCGTAGGCATCAATAATTTTCTTTACCTCCGGGTCTTCGAGTTGTTTCTGTCGGAGAATTTCGGGTTTTTCTCGCGGCATTTCGATCGAAATCAGCCCGACGTGGCACTCTTCGGTCGACTGAACTCCTGGTGGCCGTGACTGGGTGTCGGCGACTACGTTGGCTTTCCCTGGTGAGTATTCGATCGTTAAGTTGTACGGCTGGAGTTGAGGGACCATCGAGCCAGTCGTCCACTCGGAGACTTTAGGCTCATTAGCCAACGCAACGGCTGATGATCGGTAACAAACTATGGCGGGCGCTTCTTCCAGATATCCGCGAAACTTATTTACTGCCCAGACAAGGGCCAGGGCTTCTCTTTCGGTGGTTGAGTAATTCCTTTCAGGGGCCGTGAGGAGGCGGCTCGCGTATTCTATAGGCTGCTCGTTTATTCCCTCCCCCTGAATTAAAGCAGCCCCCAGTGCGTATGAGTTGGAGCAAGGTGTAGCACTCGGTGGGTGAAGCTTGTCGGAGTACCGGCGCCGTTGCACAGTGGTCGATTTCTCAAACCTAGATGGACAAAAATAAAACAAAGTCATTTTCAGAAATAAAATTTAATTCTAAAACAAAAAGTTCCTATAAACAAATGGGCTAAATTGTCTGGTTTTCGAGAAACTGCAAAAAAAAAAATATTAATACGTTCGTATCTACTTGTTAGAATTATTTCCTATTTGAAAGTGTTGCGCTATAATATAGATTATTTTATAGAATATTAACTATATAATACCAATAAATATAATAATAATAATAAGAATAATGAAATAATAATACTATGTACCTATAAAATGATTAATACTAATGAAAACAAATTTAAATGCATCAACGACTATTAACTAACAACTTATTGCTTATTTATTAATTACTGTTAAAAACACTAAACTGGATATCACATTAAAACAAATAACTTATTCATCAGAGTCTGAAGTAGAGAGTTCATAAGGCGAATCTTCTTCTGTGTCTGTATCCATAGTATTAAGTTCGATTTCGGTCGAGGCTTCAGGTATTGTCTGAAGCAACGATAATACGTCTGGTGATAAAGTGCTGCTTTTTTTCTGTTGATGGGTCCTTAGGCTGGTTATTAGAGGATCTGATGTAATTAAGAGCATATGCATCAAATCTTCCATTGTTTCTTGTCGCGAAAATTTTCTGCTGTGACGTTCTCTAAATCCTTTACAATCTTTATTTCTCGCTTCTTGGGCTTCTTCCGATAATTGCCCAATAGGCAAGATTGCTGACGAAATTATGTCACCTCCATGTATTAACAGTTTATGTACACTTGCTGGCATGTAGTACCAACCGTATTCTTTTACATACATTTCGGCAGTGGCAAATGTGTATTTATTAAACGCATCTAGATTTACTTTATGTCCTGTCGAAATAGCCTCTAAAATTACACCAAAACGTTTAATAAGTTCTTGGTTGATACCTGTTATTCTAGACGATATTTCAGGATTTTTAAAAAATCGTCGAGCGGTATTACCGTCATTGGTGGTTCCACTACCAGGCTTTGGTACATCCACTAGTAATCCAGTTTCTTCCTTAAATTTATCTTGTATTAGTTTCTTCCGTAATTCTACTGCCTCCTTGTCATGCTTTTTTATCTGCCAGGTTTTTGTGTTAACACGATACGCAATGTGCAACAGACATTCAAAACATCTAATCCAGGCATGCAAATTGGAAATACCAAACGTCAAAGCCAATGGATTGACTGTTCTAGTTTGGTGACTTTTCAGGTTATTCATTTGTGTTGGAGTAGCTCCACATATATAACATTTCTGCGATGATTGTCCCATCACAGCATTGCAAACTTTGCCATTAACCATTGTCATCACAAGTTGGTGTGATACCATCACTCTATGGTTTTGATGTAGTAATTCTGTACAACTTAGTCCACTAATTTGTTGTTCTATTTCAGCAACTTCTTTTTTTGTCATCTCAGCTGTTTCCTTTTTAAAAATTAATTTTATGGGACGGCAATAGCTTGTCGATGATGGTTTTGGATTTTGCCATAAGACCTTTCCATTGCAAGTCATTTGTAATGGTACCATGGAAATCACAAATAAGAATGAATCATCTGCCTGTGGTTGATTTGTAAATTTTTGCTTATAATGTCCCTGCCCAGAAGCACCATCACATCCCCACTTATATATCATTTTGATGTTTTTTTTTTCATTAGTGGTTAATTCATTAAGCAGACGTTCTTCTATCGACATTATCAAACGTTGAACCGTGTGATTCAACAACGCTTGTAGGTTTACTTCGGCGGAAATCTCGGAAATCTTTATGCTTTTTGGGTAGCAAGCTTTCTTTGCGTCCAAAAGTTGGTCATAACCTGGGTATATATTTGCGTTTTGTTTAATTGAAACTTTTCTAATCACGGTATATTGATGTTTCGTTAATTTAGTATCAACAAACAATGCCAAAGCTTCTTCAGAGCTTAATTTTTTTGTTAAGTCTTTTGCAGGTCTGTGAAACGCTTTCTTAAGTTTTGTGGCCCTTTGTGGAGAGGATTCCGTGATTTCTTTTACAATTCGTGCCGCATCTCTCCGACCACCTTTGCGTAAAGTCATCTCTGTAGCAAAATTAAGGCGTTCAGGTGTAATATTTAACAGAAGCTCGACTTTTCGCTTTTTTGTTTTTGAACTAGATTCAGGAAATAGCTTCTTAGGACGACCACGACTACCAGAACTAGTTCCTGGCAGGTTAGTTTTATTTGCTTCTGCTATTTCGGCTTTAAATGTGAGTGCAACATCCAGCCATTTTGCATTTGCAAGAAGAAACCTACTCTCCATTCTATTACTACTTTTCCATTTATTTTCTGCGTGACGGCAAAAATACCTTACTCTTTCCGAAATAGTAGTTTTAATAGACTCACTGATGTCCGTAAGATTCAGATGCTTTACAATAAAGTTGTATACCTCCGTTTTCTTTTGCGCGGGAGTTGTAGCGCGGCGCCATATGTCGAATAACACACGTCTAGATACGGCGCCGGCGGTGGCATTCTCTAAAAAAATTCATAATTAACCCTGGACTGCTTAGGTGAAAATTGCACCAATAGTTGCTTATGTGGGGTTACTCGTAACCCCAGTTGATAAAAACAACTAAACAAATAAAAAACACAAGACAAAACAATAAACGCTTTATTTATAACATTCTAAGCTTAAGATAAAATAATTAGAAACTTATTGATTGCATTCTGAACATATTTCAACACGATGAGTGTTACAAACAGGTTTATGACATTTTGAACAAGCTGTTTTAGTTTTAATGTCTTTGATTCTTGGACACAATGCACATCGAGTTTGTTTTGCAAGTTTTGGTGGAGGTGGAACTGCAGCTATATTTTCCTCCTCCATTCCTAGAATAGTTCTTATAGATGAAGACAATTTTTTGGTCAAATTTTTTGTTAAGCGGCGTTCCATGTGCGGTCTTGCAAGCTGCATTCCGAGCTCAAATAGATAATGCCGACGAATACATTTTTCTCTATTGCGTTTTACCATCTGAAACAATACTCCTGAATTTACACCAGCTTGATCCAGTATGCCATAAAAGTATCGTAAGGGCCACCTTCTGGTCTTCCGCGAGACTGAATATGTGTGAACCATCTGGTCAAACGTGTCTACACCTCCTTTAGTTGAATTATAGAAATTAATTATTTCTGGCTTTTTATTTGGATCTACAGTTTTTGTTTTATGCATTGTAGACAGTAATAGAACACACTTAGATTTTTTTGGCGTAAATGACACTAACGTTTTTTTCTGGTCAAAGGCAAATTGCGAAGTTAGCGCTTCTTTATTTTTGTTTGCCAGGAATGACGAAGGAACTTCTTTTTTATTTTTACGTAGTGTTCCGACAATAGTTAGATTGTAATTGTTCACCATATTATCTGCCAGTGGAATACTGGTAAACCAATTATCCATCGTTATGTTACGTCCTGTTCCATGAATAGATTCAGAGAGCTTTTTTACGTAATAATGTGGTAAGGGTTCTGCATTTGCTCTTACTTCTTTTCCAATATATGGGATGGCACTTACCATGTAAAAAGTGCGTGAATCGCACATGGTTACTATTTTCAATCCATATTTGTCTGGCTTTGATGCAATATAAACTCTAAAAGGACAATTTCCACGAAAACCCAGGAGCTGCTCATCAATTGTCACATATTCATGAGGAGTATAATATTTTGTACAATTTGATTCAAACTCTTCCCATATCTCCCGAATGGGAGAAAATTTATCTTCGCGATTTCTCGCAGTTTTATCATCAAATCTTATACACGATATCAAAAAACGAAAACGTGTTTCACTCATAATACTGCGATATATTTCAGGTCCATACTTTGACCACATTTCAGCTGTTGTTAGGTGATTATCTTTTCTGCATCCTGATATATAAAGAAGACCAAAAAGAGCAAGTAATTCAGTTGTATCCGTTTCACCAACATAACCACAATTTTCAGTATAGTTCATTTTTTTTCTGCCAATTTCTGAATTTGTGTGCAGAACAATCTTGTTTATAATTCCATCAGAAACAAGCAATTTCCAACCTTCCAATTCTGTGGAAATACTTTTTGCTGCACCTTTTGGTCCTGGAATGCGTAAAACCAAATTTCGTTGAAGTGTCCGAGTACGAGAAGGGGGCACAGAGCTCCAACGATGACCATTCTTACCCTTGATAGACACACCTGATTCTTGAACAGTGGTGTCTTCATTCTCATCTTCATTATCAGAAGATGACATCCCACTTCCAACATGTGAGTGTTCCGACATATGGTCCTCAAATTCTTGGTCACTTCCATGAGAATCATATTCTGAGTCAGCTTCATCGAACCAGCGTAAAACGGTCTCTTCAAAATGAGAATCACCCGGTCTTACTGCCATCTAAATTCAAATAAAATTGAAAGAATGTGGAAAATGATTTATGCATCAATGCTTACCTGGGGTTACACGTCACCCCAATTACTTTATAATACAAAAACAAAGCAAGTATACAAAGATTAAACGCGCGTGTAACTTAAAACATAACCTCAAACGAACATAGCTGGTCCCGCAGAGATGCAAACCTCAACGCAAAAAAGTTACCAAGTTTCTAATTTTGGCTGGGGTTACTGGAAACCCCACTAAGCATTCCAGGGTTAATAAAGGGGCAAATTGGGGCAGTATGTTTTTTTTTTTTGTCTTATAAAGAATCAAACGCGGAATATGCCGACATTTATTCCGTCAGTGCCAACTGATGCCAACATTATTAAAACATTACTTAAAGTTGGGCTTTTTTACGATTTCCTGCATTTGAATAATATGGTGTTTTTAACTAATTTAGGCGTACGGTCTTGTAGTAAAATTAATTACATACCTTCGATAGGAGTATCCATAATAATGTATAACCTTCAAAACACTGTTTTCACAAACATTCTTCAAATGACGTGATACTTTCGTACGTTCGTACTGACTGACGCGTGAACTAGAGCTGTGTCGGGGTGGTTTTACCTGCTTCATAACAATGAAACCGGGAAAGGAAACAGTTTTATTGCTTTGGATTTATTATTCATAAACATTTGTCGTCCCATCGGCATTAAATGGTTGAATTTGAAAAATAAAAATTTTCTATTTTTGTCCACCTACATTTAACAAATCGACCACTGTGCGTTGTGAGCGCCTTCTTCAAGCCGTCGAAGGCGGCGCTTTGCGCCGGTCCCCATTCCCAGGCGGCGTCTTTCTTTGTTAAACACGTCAGCGGCCGCGCTTTTCCAGCAAAATTTGGGATGAACCGTCGCACACTGGTCCCAAAATTAAAATTTGCGGCCAAAAATCCCAACATAGTTGAATTTGCATCAAAATTCGTATACAAGGGTTTTTATGGCCGGTAATTATGAATATGCTAATAAAAATATCATTTACAAAATGGCGGCTGCAATATGGCAGAAATTGAAAAAAAAAAAACACGTGAGATTTTGATAAATAATACACAATGACCATTTATGTCGACTTCTCAAATGTAAAAAATGAGTGGGATAATAAATGAAAGTCATTTTGATTAAAAAATTGAGAAGAAAATTATATTTATTACAAAAAAACGAGAAAAACTAAACATATATACAAATTATTCTGAATCACTATCAGGTAACTCAGAATCTATTTCAGAGTCACTATCTACTTTCGAGACAATTCCTAATTTATTTTGAGAACTGCTGGCTATAAGCAGTTCTAATGCTTCCGGTAAAAATTGTTTTAATTTTTTCTTTGGAAGCTTTCTGAGGCTCGAAATATAAGGGTCAGAAGAAACAAGTAGTCTGTTAAATACATCTTCCATTGTTTTCACTCTGGAAAATTTTCGAGAAAAATCCGAACGATACTTTTTAATGTCCTTGTTCCTTGCCTCTTGAGCTTCCTCGGATAACTGTCCAATAGGTAATATTGCTTTTTCAATAACTTCTTTTGCGTGTATTAACACTTTATGTACCGAAGTGGGCATGTAGTACCATGGATATAAATTAACGAATAGTTTTGCTGTGTTAATACAAAATTTTTCGAAAAGTTCCAAATTAATGTCGTAACCACTAGAGATTACCTGTAGAATGACATAAAAACGTTTAATTAATGTCTCGTCAATGCCTGTTATTTTCGCCGAAACTTGAAAATTCGCAAAAAAGCGTCGAGCAGTGTTGCCGTCATTGGAACTTCCAAACCCAGGCTTTGGCGTGTCAACTATTAATCCCAACTGCAGGCGAAATTCACGTTGAAGCTCCCTTTTTCTCTCGCTTACTGCCTTTTTCTCTTCAGCATTGCGTGCTTGCCATTTTTTAATAGAAATTTTGTATGATAAATGCAAGATACATTCGAAGAACCTGATCCATGCGTGTAGAGTGGATAATCCAAATCTAAGATTTTCTTTCAAAATAGGTTTTTTTTAAATCTTATCAAGGTCATTAAAATCTTTACTAGTTGCTCCACATAAATAACAACGCTGCGATGACTTTGTTCCTGTAATAGCACTGCATACTTTTCCATCAATCATTGTTAGATTCATAATATAAGATATTTTAAAGTTGATTTCGTTAAAGGTACTTTCAAAAGGTAAAAGGTTATTTATTTGGTTTTCGACGTAATTTATCTCAGTTCGAGTGGATTCTGTAGTTTCTTGAAGAAATTGCATTCGTAATGGTCTACAAAAACGTGGAGATGATGTTCTAGGATTCTTCCAAATTATTATTTCCTTATCTAGCTTATCGTCTGTATATACTAATTGTAAAGGAACTACTGATGTCAAAAATATGCTGGTATCAGAATTATCTTCTCCTTCAAAGGTTTGTTTGTACTCACTATGGCCAGAACTTCCATCACATCCCCATTTTAAAAAAAGCTTTAAGTTCTGTAAATCCTCAGTACTCAAGGTGTCAATAACTGTTTCTTGACTTTGTATTATACGCTGAGCTGTATGATCTAACAATTGCTGGAGGTCGACTTCAACACTGTTTTCAGAAATTTTTATAGCAGTTCGCGGAGGGTAACACAGATTTTTCGCTTCCAGTACCTTCTTATAAGAAGGATAGAGCCTGCAATTTTGTTCCAAACTTGTTAGTCGTAGACCTTGATACTGGCTTTTCGAAAGCTTCAACTCAATTAATATTGAAAGAGCACTGTCATTGGTAAAAGGAGTTTCAGGAGGTGTCTTAAAGCTCTTGCGGTACTTTGATGCCCTCGTAGGAGTAGTAAGGGCAGCTTCTTTGACAAGTTTGCACGCATCTAATTGACCCGTAGAACGCAGACTTGATTGTGTTGCATATGCTAGTTCTTGTGGACTAAAAGAACTACGGAGTTCTTTAGTTTTCCTGCGTTTAGATCTTTCGCTGGATGACTGAAATTCCTTTGTTGGTCTGCCTCTAGCTGATGATGTCGTTGCTACTGCATTCTCTAAGATTGAAAACGTAACGGGTTTATTTAGCCAATCACTGTATTTTTGAAGAAACTTTTCCTCGTTTCTACTGACAGTTTGCAACTTTTGTCTCATTTTAGAAAATAGCGTAGAAAATGATGCTTTCATGTCTTTACGAATTTCCACCGATTTTCCACTACGTTCTGATACCATCAATTTAAGATGATCTAGCAGATCAGAAAACTCGTCTCTTAAATGATTTTTTAAAATAAAATAAATCTCTTTCCTACTATAAACCACTTCTTGGCAAGAAGACCCTAAAACAAAGATATAAGTAGGCATATTTATAAATAACATTTTATGAAAACGTCAAATAATACAACTAATTAATAAATAATTATGTTTAATTTTCCTTATTTTTTGCCAATACATTCAATCACTTTTTGGTTTACTGTTCTTGAAGGAGCAGCTAGTTGCAGCCAAATCTTACCACATTTGAAAGATAATAAGCTAATCTTTTACCTCCGAATTCAATCTTTATGGTATATGGTGGTATATGCTACTTTTCGACTCGATGAATTAATAAATTAATAAAAAAATGCGCAATTGTTGCACCACCAATTTCATTTAAATAATTCTTTCTGATGGCTCATTCTTAGAACTTTAAAATATATAAAAAATAATCTACATACCTGATGGAGTTGGTTCCATAACGCCAAAATAGTATCAAACTACTTAACTCCAAATTAGAACACCTTTTATGAGAACAAAGTCACAATGCACAAATTTCTGCTCACGAACACTCTGGAGCAACGCTAAACGACAACTACAATTTTGAGGGTAATAAATGATTATTAAACGATTTGCCTATTGTTATGAGGTAGCCTAAACATCCTTCTATATGACTCTTTAGTACAAATTCTTAGAATCGCTTGTTCGGTGTTTCCTATTTTGACCGAGTTTTCCCAACTTGGGACCTGTGTGCGTCGGTACCAATTACACGTTTGCAAAAAGGTCAGAAGTTGTTTCACGTTAATCGGTGGTTCCATGCGACTGATAGCGGCGACTTTCTCGGGATTTGTTTCAATCCCTTCGGGAGAGATAACGTGCCCCAGATATCTGACACGCTGACACCCGAAGGAGCACTTTGGTCGGTTCATCCTTAACTTCAAAATTCGCAGTTGGTTGAAGTAAGCCTGCAGTTCGTTGAGGTGTGCTTCGTAAGTTTCGGACAGTAGAATTAAATCGTCCAGGTACACTAGCAATTTCAACCCACTTAATCGGACCTTAAAACTATCCATTAAGCGTTGAAACGTGGCAGGAGCGTTCCGCAGACCGAACGGCATCCTCTTGAATCGGTATACCCTGAACGGGGTGATGAAAGCCGTTTTATCACAATCATCCGGGAACATCGTGATCGGGGGTGCGATTTTGTTTCTCCATCGAAAAAAACCCGTTAGCGATAAAATCTCGTTTGCTGATTGGTTGAGATGCTACATTTCTGTCACATTTCTCGATTCTGTCACGAAATCAAGTCCTCATGGAACGATCTTTTCTCGATAGCTCTGAGTAAAGTGATAAATTTTGGAGACATAACCTCGAAATTTATGTCAAAATAGAAGTTCAAAATCGTAATTCTGAGTGATAAATTCTTAAAATTAAGGTAATTGTAAACTTTTGAGCATTTAATAAGCTTATATGCAAAGAAGAAATGCAAACTTTTGCATTTAAAACCTACGTAATGACATTTAATTTATCGCTTCGATCGAGAAACAAAATCGCACCCCTGGTGCGATTTTGTTTCTCGATTGAAAAAAACTCGAAAGCGATAAAATCTCGTTTGCTGATTGGTTGAGAGGCTGAGTTGGTGAGACATTTCTATCACATTTCTCGATTCTGTCACGAAATCAAGTCTTCATGGAGTGATATTTTCTCGATAGCTCTGAATGAAGTGATAAATTTTGGAGACATAACCTCGAAATTTATGTCAAAATAGAAATTCAAAATCGTAATTCTGAGTTATAAGTTCTTAAAATTAAGGTAATTGTAAACTTTTGAGCATTTAATAAGCTTATATGCAAAGAATAAATGCAAATTTTGCATTTAAAAGCCCCGCAATGACATTTATCGCAAGTGATAATTTATCACTTCGATCAAGAAACAAAATCCCACCCCTGATAATATCCAAACCTTAGATCCATCATCGAGATGTAGTGGGCATTTCCGGTGGAGTGCATCTGGTTTTGTTATGGCGTTTAGGCGGCGATAATCTACGCACAATCGCACCTTTCCATTAGGCTTCGGAACTAACACCACCGGTGACGCCCATGCACTTTCACATTCCTCGATGATGTCCTGTTCTAGAAGTGCGTCCACTTCGTCTCTCAGGAGCTGGAGACGAGCTGGACCCAGGCGATAAGGAGGTAGCGCGATGGGGACGTGGTTGTAAGTGTCTATGTGGTGTTGAGTCTGCTCTGTGGACGGCCCGTGCGGTTCGAACAAATCTTTATTTTGCACGAGAAGGGCGTTTAGTTCATTTTTTGTTGGGTGTCCAATGTCACGGCTTCGTCTTCAGCTCGTAAGATAACGTCGTGCACGTCAAGGGTGGCCATCCGTATTTCGGCAAGGAGTTGGAGGTCATTTGGGTTTAAAGCGTTACTCCATTCTCGCTCGACGGCGAAGGCGGCGTCGCTCATCATATAAGCCGATCGCGAAGTCTCGACACCGAAATGATAATGCGGCGGGTTCCGTGGTCTGGCGGTAACAGGCGTGGCTGGTAACGGTGTTAAAATCGGCCCATATCCCCCGGTCAAGTCGGAGATGATGTCGCTGATTTCCACGGTTTCGGACGTATCCATGGAACTGGCGACTTCTTGAGGGCGGTTCCCTATGAACTTCTCCTTTAATATGTTGGCGTTGGGTGGAGGTGTTCTTAACTCGTGGAAAGCGATCTCGACAGGACCTGGTGATTCCTCCTTCGAGATAAACCCGTAACACTCGTGACGATTTCCTGCATAATGCCACCTTTGGCTTCCATAATCGACGACCATCCTTGATTTCTGTAAGAAATCGGCCCTAAGGAGGGTTTTTGAATTCAGTGCTTCCGGGATAGCAATAAACTGAGTCGCTGTCGTGCGTCCTTTAAGTGTGATCGGCAACGTGCAGGTTTTTATGCGGCTGATTTTGGTATTCCCGTCCGCTTGCGTCAACCGGACCGTAGCGTCTTCGAAGTTGTGGCCCTTTTTCTTAAGGAGACCGTACAATTGAGAGCTGGCAAGGCTGGTCCTTGCTCCGCTGTTCAGGAATGCCGTTCCCGACATCCCGTCAATGTTTATATGTACGGCGGGTCGTTCGAATTTGCGGGCGTCCAGAGCGCAGAACTGGACGTTGAGTGTGGAAGCGTTGGTGTTTTCTTTGTTGCATTCCGGGCAATTTCTACGAAAAACGCCCGGTTTGCCACACCCATAACACGTTACCGGGTTATTTTGGGATGGTGCCTTTGCAGAAAGATGCCTCTGTCTTTTCCTACAGGCGGAAGTTTCGTGGCCGACGTGTCTGCAGAATTCACAACGAGCACGCTTATCGTTGCGAGGTGGTGCCGGCGCTGTAGTTGGGACGGCACCTCGTTCAATGTTCCGGATTTGTGCCTGCATCTCGATTTCGTTAGCTGCGGCGAGGAGCTGTGTGAATTTGTGCAGCATTTTCCGTGGGACCCTGCTACGTATGTTCCACTTTAGGAGTCCATACACCATGTCGAGTTGGCGGCTCTCGGTGTCGGCGGGCTCCACTTGTGCGAGCAGGGCCCGTTTCTGGCTAACAAACAGTCCCGTGGAAGTCCTCTGGTCCTGCTTTGTAGCGAAGACATCCAAATAAATTTGATACGCCGGCGGGGTGGGCGCGAATTCTTGACGCAGCGCCCCTACCGCATCATCCCACGTATTTATGCCGGCTTTTACTCCTGTCCACCAGGTATACGCCGTACCTTGGAGGAGTAATGGAATTCCAAGGAGTGCGTTCGTCCGTTATCTTTTCAGTAACTTTGTAGAAATTGGCGGTTGCCAAAAAATCCTCTACCGCCTGCTTAGTGCGTGTGCCATCGAAACGTGCCGGACAGTGAGTAAAATGCTTAATTGTCTCTGCTGGCTTCAATCTCTCAATCAGCTGTTGTAGCTGGTCTGCTGTAATGGCCATACTTCTTGTCTGTATGGAGCTGGTCACTAGTGGCTTTTTTAATACCATATGCCGGGTTCACTTTGCGGTTCGCGGTCGTAGTTTCGAGCTGAACGTTGGGCGACACTTGTAACGGTTGTAACAAATGTTTATTATTACTAATATATAGACAGATGGTGGTATAATAAGCCTACTAGTACAAGAATATATATATAGTCCAGACAGAGACACTTAATTTAACCGCCCAGGTAGAGTCCGTCGCGCACAGGTAAGAGTCCGTCGCACACGGGTAGGAGTCCGTCGCGCACGGATATGAGTCCGTCACGCACAGGTAACAGTCCGTCGCGCACGGATATGAGTCCGTCACGCACAGGTAAAAGTCCGTCGCGCACAGTTAACAGTCCGTCACGCACAGGTATGGGTCCGTCGCGAAACTATACTACGGGTAATGTTCGTACTTGCACACGTAAACTCCGTACTCGTACACGTAGACTCCGTACTCGTAACAGTCCAGCCAATTACCCCTCTCTTTAGGAGAAGTGAGTCGGCGGATCAACCCGGTGGGAAGTAACTGGGCTAAGACTTCGAGTATCAATCGCAGAAAAAAAAACACAAGACCTAGGAGTGGGTATCCAACTCGCTGCAAGGGCTTGGTGTTTTTTAGCTGAGAGTGGGAATCCAACTCTGGGGAAAAACTTTGATGCAGCTCCCTTTATTGAGCATTCCTGTGCGCCGGTAAAGCTTAGGGGGGATATGATAAGGCTTGAGTCTGTACGGGGGTGGCGATCGGAGCGCTATTCTGGTGGGCGCCCGGGGCATTTATTGGGACCGTTACAAAATATAATAAAGATAGCACTATCTCACCTTCTGTCATTGTGCTACTTTTTTTTTTGCTCCTCGCATTCGATTTAAATTTTCACATAACTGTTCGAAATTTTGTGACTTTTCTTGTAAATAACTTAAATATAATTCATATTGTTCCTGACAAACATGCTCGTTATCTACAAAAAAGGAACGTGTAAAGACTATATAATAATTGGACTGTTGAGAATGGGAGAAGTGTAATATTTTATTCTACATTTGTCACAGGTAATCAAAAATATCGTCACGTTTCCGACAGCGAGGGAAGTACTGTCTAAACTGTTTAGACCAATTTTTTGACATTAGTCAGCATTTTGCCGGCTATTTTAATGATTTGTAGAAGGATGGGACACTTGCTGACAGCCAACTTCAGACGGTTTATGTTTCCAACATTGTTTAAAATCCAATATTGGTTTTAGTTAACACTCGGATGCCCAAGCTATTTTTTTTTACATAGACACCCAAGCTGGGTCAAATTTGACCCATCCTAATTTTGCTTTAGATTTTATTATTTCAAGTTCCAATTGCCTATTTATCATGTATTAATGAAAAAAAGGTCACAAAACAAAAATTTTTGTCATTAATATCTATAAAAGAAGTATTTGTTTATAAGAAAACAACAGTTAAGATTTAAGATAACATACCAATAAAATACTTAAAATTCGATCGTTTTATTGTGTACAGTTTTGGTAGATTTTTAACACGTCTATTGTTACTTGTGCCTTGCAACAAAAAATGCCGCATTGTCCGCATTTATCAGAGTATTTGTTAGCATTACCGACACAAAGCCCACATTTTTCTCTTTTTTCGTTTCTGGATTCCCTATCCTGGTTACTATTTTTGTATCAACTACAGTGCCAATTACCATTTATACACCTCGAGGAACACAATTAAATCCATTATCCACCCGTCTTTGAATGTGAGGCTTCACTAGATGAAGACCGAGCTCTTTGAGAAATAATCGTCTTCTTCAAGAAACACTTGGTCCGTAAACTGAGTTTTACATTTTATATATATATAATGTATGCATTTATGGCCAAAAGGTTTAGGAAATTCATAAACTGAACAAAAGGCCATCCTATTGTTTATCTATTACATGCCTACTCATTTAACTTCTTGTTAAAACATCTATAAGTTGAAGACCCAAAGTCGGTCAAAATTGACCCACTGCAACAAATATGTGATAACTATCATGTAACTAAAATCAAGTGGCGGCAAGTATTCACAAATTGTTGACAACACCAAAACAGGCAAAAAATAAAATCCAGTACAAAAAATTTAAGAGATTGAAGAAAAGAATCACAAAAAAGTGGTTCGTGGGTCAAATTTGACCCAGGCTTGGGCATCCGAGGGTTAACAAGGTGTGCACCGTAATAGACTTCACTATTGGATATTGTCTTTAAGCGATAACCAATATCCAACGTTGGAAAAGAACTAAGGTTCACCATAATAGACCTGATAATCTGTTTGGTTTGGATGGTATGTAAAGTAACCTCATACACCTGTTAAAACTTTATGCGGCTTAAGCCAAAACACCCCTTAAGTCAAACTGGCTATTGTATTACTTAACAGTTCACAGGTTTATCAAGACGTCTTGAGCATCACGTGACGTGTCCTGTATTTGTTCAGCCGAAGCTTGTGAATTTAGCAACTCGTATGCCGCATTAACTACCATATCTTCAATTTTCTGTCGATCTATTTGGATAGTTGCATCTGCCGCATTTAACCACCTGAGTGCAGTTATAGGTTATTATCAGTGTTCTAAAATATTATATCGAATACTTTAAACCCTGAGCCAAAATACTAAATAACAAATACTATTTTAATTAACCCAACCTCGTACATATCGTACAAATAATTGTTGTAAACAAAGTAAAATTCATGCTTCTAAAACCATTACATTGAATAATTTATTTGGCAGAGGTTCTAAATATTTACTTACATTTGTTTAAAATTTAGCAACACTTTTGCACTACGAGGGAACAGGAAATACAAACTTGCACGCATAAACGACATATACAAAGTGAAAGAATGCTTGCAAAAATATGCAGACATCAATTAGTTTTCCATTGTCTTTTACTCATCAGTAACAATACTGCATTGACTTTGGTTGTTGAAAAGTTAGCCCGCGGTAATTGTTACCGATAATTACCAGCGCTGCCACTCTTCTATTGCTCTGACGTCATGATATGAATGTACAACTGGAAATTGGTTGAAACTTGTTAAAGTGACAATCAGAACGAAAAGGGCCATCACATGGGTTTCTCAGTATAGCAAGTTACGTTGGTATAGTCTATTCATAGCTCTCGGGGGATGGAAACATAACGCACTAGCGCCGTTAATTTGTTTTTTGTACTGTCTTCGTGTGTCTGGTGTCAACATCTTGTGTCTCTGTTTCTTTTAAGTTATTATTATTTATTTTACTACTTTGTATATATTAGTATTAAGAACTTTGTTCAATAAGGTCCTCAGAGCATTTATTTTTTAATGACCTTTTATGATAAGTCAGTTACGCCACTGCAAATGGATAGCCGCGCATCTGAAGCTCCGCCCATGAGACCTTTCATTTTGGTTGCTACTCTACACAGTAGCGGGCTTTAAACGCTATCAAACTATTGCTACAGTTACCAGCTCCCTTACAGCAAATTTTAAAGGGAAGGAGAGTTTACCGAAATTTTGCTTTAGTTACTGTACTGTCAGTTACTGTTCGGTCTTTGTCACGAGTGCACGTGTGATATTATGGTGTTTTAAATAAATTTTGACTTTTTGTGAATTTAATAATTTTGAAAAGGGGGCTGCCGTAATTTTGTCTTCCGTAAGTACAAAAAACTTTTTTTATTTAAATATTTTTGTTTAGAACAATTTGTTTTTTTTTTCTTTTTTGAGAGGTCCATATTTTATGAATATTACAACAAACAATATTTTAAATAATCTTCATTCACAATTTAGAATAATTCATACATAAACCCTGATAAACTTATTGATTCTAACAGTTACATTTAAACCAAACAATTCGTTTTTAGCAGATATTTTCATATATACTGACCGACAAAAAAAAACCGGCCACCCTGAAAAATTCCGCGAAACCAAACTTTAAAAATTATTAATTTAGTGATCGCTATTTTATTAAAGAACCATTCACTATTGACGCATGATGTATAAATTAGCAAAAAAAAAGAAGACAAGCGCAGAATTAAATTTTATTTAACAAAACAACAGAAACAGAGCGACAATTTGAGAGACGTTTGTAAGGGTTAACGGCATTGTTTTCTCGTGAAAACCTTTATTAACTGCCAAACTTATAATCAAATGATGAAAAAGACTGTTTACAACAACAGCTTCCTTTATTGTTTTAATTAAGAAAATGTCGTACTTGGTCTGTTTCTGTTATAAAATTGAGTATCTGGTTAATGCAGCACCAGTCTTCACAATACGATTATATGACATAACAAAGCACTTATCTATATTCAGCTGTAATCAATTTGCGTCCACATCAATTATAAAAACAATGTATGCCTATCCTCGTGCAATAAAAAACAATCATTCCTATCTGAAATTTTACGAGATATTTTTATATCGTCTGCAAACATGAATGGTTGAGAATGCTTGAATACATCTCATGCATCATTGATATATAATGCGAACAGTAGAGGTCCTAATATTGAGCCCTGAGGGATCCCAGAAGTCGCCACATAAACGTCTGATATATATCCATTATAATATACGAAATTTTTTCGGCAATGAAGAATTTTATCAATGAATTACTCAGTCCAAAATTAGATAACTTTTTAAACAGAATTTGATGATCAATTTTATCAAATGCCTTGCTTATATCCATATATATTACATCGAGCTGACCTTTGTCCTCAAATGCCTCAGCAATATTTTGTGACATGCACACTAAATTGGTGCAAATGGACCCACGAGGTGTGAGGCCGTGCTAGATTGGAGATAATTTGCTCTTGATCTGAAAGTATAGCTGCTCGTAAATGATGGATTCTAACATTTTTGAGAAATTACAGAGCAAGGAAATCTGTCTAATTACGAATATCAGCAGTGTCTCCTTTTTTAAACGTAGGTATGTTTTAGCTGTTTTCCATACAGCAGGTAGGCATGTGTTACGTAATGCTAACTGAAACGTGTGTAACAGGGGCTTCACC